TCCAAAATTTTTGTGGGTCCCCACATTTGTGTGGATGCTTCATTGGTTTCATGGCCCATGGAATGATAAAGGCAGATGAAAGACATGATAGTAAAACAACAACAACAAAACAGAAAAATAGCTAGTATGCTTTTTTTTTTTTTTGACAGGCAGATTTAAACAGTGAGAGAGAGAGACAGAGAGAGAGTTATAGACAGTGAGAGAGAGACAGAGAGAAAGGTCTTCCTTCCGTTGGTTCACTCCCCTAATGGCCACTATGGCCAGCGCTGCGCCAGTCCAAAGCCAGGAGCCAGGTGCTTCCTCCTAGTCTCCCATGCAGGTGCAGGGACCCAAGCACTTGGGCCATCCTCCACTGCCTTCCCTGGCCACAGCAGAGAGCTGGACTGGAAGAGGAGCAACTGGAACTAGTACCCAGCACCCCAACTGGGACTAGAACCCAGGGTGCTGGTGCTGCAGGTGGAGAATTATCCAAGTGAGCCATGGCACCAGCCAGTATGCTTTTAATTTTTCTAAATTGGTTGATGTTTTGTGTCTTCCTTATTTTTCAACCCTATCACTTTAAAAATCCTAGTAAAGATAAAAAAAATGGTTTACTGTCATTGTCAGTGTCACTTACAAAAATCATCTACTCATACAGATGAAGGAAAGCTGCTCAAAGTGTGTAAGAAATTTTACATATTTTTTCTCATAATATATAATTATTTTTTTAATATTTGTTTTTTATTGGGGCCAACGCTGTGGCGAGGCTGGTTAACACCCTGGCCTGAAGTGCTAGCATCCCATATGGGCGCCGGTTTGAGACCCAGCTGCTCCACTTCCAATCCAGCTCTCTGCTATGGCCTGGGAAAGCAGTAGAAGATGGCCCAAGTCCTTGAGCCCCTGCACCCGCATGGGAGACCTGGAGGAAGCTCCTGGCTCCTGGCTTCAGATCGGTGCAGCTCTGGCTGTTGTGGCCAACTGGGGAGAGTGAACCATCGCATGGAAGACCTCTCTCTCTTTCTCTGCCTCTCTCTGTGTAACTCTGACTTTCAAATAAATAAATAAATCTTTAAAAAGTATTTGTTTTTTTTTTTATTTATTTGAAAGGCAGAGTTAGAGAGGAGAGACAGAGAGAGAAGGAGAGAGAGAGAGGGAAAGAGAGAGAGAGAGAAAGTCTTCCATCTATAGGTTCACTCTCCAAATGGCTAAAACTGCGGGAGCTGGGCCTATCTGAAGCCCGAAACCAGAATCCAGGAGCCAGGAGCTTCTTCTGGGTCTCCCACGAGGATGCAGGGGCCCAGGCACGTTGGGCCATCTTCTACTTCTTTCCCAGGCCATTGCAGAGAGCTGGATCGGAAGTGGAGCAGCTGGGTCTCGAACTGGCCCACATATGAGATGCTGGTACTGAAGGCAGTGGCTTTACCCGCTGTACCACAGCGCTGGCCCCATGTAATATATTCTTGCACTAAACTTGATATAATGATTAGGCAAAGGAGATATAAAGCTATTTAAAATATCTTCTTAAGATTTTAAATAAACTCATTGATTAATAACAAGAAGGAAGCAAAGTTTATAAGTCATATGGTGAAAGCAGCATATAGAGATTATCAACTCAGGGACACTTTAGTATTACTTAGAATCAGTAGTAATATATTGTAGGTTGAGGCAAATAAAAGGTTGAAAAGCAACTGACTGAAAATCTTGTAGAAACCAGACTCGAATGATCATATGTTTTGTCTTCAGATTTTTATAAGCATGAGATTTATAACCACGAGGCACATAGGGGCTTTCTCCCCATAAAATATAAATGAGGCAACATTAAACCTGGCTTGAACTCCAGAATCTCTCATTTATAATACTGTCTTTATGTCTCAGATCATTTTATCTTAAATTATTGCAAAGTATTAAAGAAGATTGCGAAGATTTTTCATTTATGATAAAAGTGGCCTACCAACAAACTCTGATAAGAAGCGCTTATCTATGGCACAGAACTTACAGGTTCTTTATTATTCATCAGAGAAGGTTTACATTTGATCCCAGTAGCAGAGGCAAATCAAGTGCTATTTATTGCTAATATCATCTTAAAGTTTGAGTCTTTACTCTTGGATCCTTTTTTTAGTGCAACTGAAATGAAAATTCAAGTAAAAAGTAACTTTTCTGTCAAGGAAAAAGGGCTTATCAGAATAAAACTAGTTGCTCTATTTTTCACCATAGCTGCTCTCATCATTGTATCTGGTAGATCCTTCTTCCTTGACAGTGGAATTGTCATCATATGCCTTCTGTGTTTACATATGTGTAAAGATTAATTATATTAAAAACCATGCTTGATGCAGTTGATTTTGGTACCCTGCCCACTGTGGAATATGTCAAGCATACTACTCAGCTACTGGTACTAGTGTTCTTGAGCATTAGGACAACAATTGTTCTATATGATGATATAATATCTATAATTTAACTGGGCTGAATGTAAAATATTTTTATTCTGATTTATTCAAGTTTTGGTAATCTAGGTGATCTTTTCAGGAGACTATAACAGAGGAGAGTCAAGCAAATACTTCGTATGGACCATGCTTTTAGAACTATATCACTTCTAAGGACACAGCCCTGTCCATGGTGTGAAGTACAACATAGAAGAGAAATTTCTGAACGGGAATAACACTAGGAAATAATTTTTCCAAAGTACAGACTATCAAGCCACCAAGGAACTTAAACAGCTATCTTAAATCTTCAAAATGTTTTAATGAAAACAGAAAACTATAAAATTACAAAAGAAATGGTGGCTATTCAAGCTATGTTTCACAAATCAGATGGCTCTTAAGAGTGTACACATTAGCGGTAGTGCTGCTCACATATTATATATACATAATTGATATATCTGATATCAATTATCTGTATAATGATACATAGTAGTTCCTCCTTACCCAGTTTTTATTTCTGTGGTTTCAGTCACCCATGGTCAATCTGTCGGAAAATAAGAAATTCAAAATTCTGCAAATAAGCAAATGTGAGTTTTAAATTGTGCACTATTCTAAGAAGTGTGATACAATCTTATGTGTTCTGTACCTGAGATGTTAATATCCATTTGTCCAGCATTATCTATGCTGTATGCGCTACCTATTAGTCATTTAGTAATGTTATTGATTATCAGATTGACTGTCACAACATTACAGAGCTTGCGCTTAACCCCTATTTTAGTTAATAACAATCCCAAAGCACACATTTTTATTATATACTATTATAATTATTCTATTTTATTATTGTTGTGATTGCTTATCAGCCTTTTGGCTAAGGTATAGTGTATTTTATTATTGCTGTTGTTAATTTCTTATTGTGACAAATTTATAAATTAAACTCTATCATATTTATGCATTTATGAAGGGAAGATGGTATACATAGAGTTCAGTACTCTTTGGAATCCCATGGTTTCAGGCATTCGCTGGAGGCTTAGAATATATCTCCTGTGAATTAAAAGGGGCTAACGTAATTACAACAGAATAAATATTAGTTTCTGAGTTTGCAGCTGTGCTGGGAATCTGGTATGGAAGATCATACAAGACATAGAGATAATTGTAGGATGTACAGTCAGCTTATGTGCAAATAGTGCTAATAAAACAGAACTTCCTTCCAGCCCTTGCATTCCAAAGATGGTATTAGAATTTTAATGTATCTAGAAATGGAATTTAGGATTTGTCACAATGTTAGCAATGTGGTGCAGTGAAGATTTTTCCCCAAAAAAATTATGCTAAATGAATTGTCTATCTACATAGGACAAACTAACTGAATTGCTTCCTTACAACATACACAAAAATAAATTTCAAAGAGCTGAATATCAAAATATAAAATGCAGAATAATACTTTTGGGAATAAATAGAATACCACCTCTACTTTGTTAGTAAAATAGGCAAAGATTTCCTAAACAGGACACAAAAAATATTAACCATAAAATTTCAAAAATGGACAAATGGGTCATATTAAAATTTATACTTGGGGGGTGGCATTATGGGGTAGTGGGTAAAGCTGCTGCCTGTGATGTCAGCACCCCATATAGTTGCCACTTCAAGTCCCAGCTGCTCCACTTCCAGTCCAGCTCCCTCCTAAGGGCCTAGAAAAAGCAGTGGAAGATGGTTCAAGTGATTGGACCCCTAACACACATGTGGGAGATTCAGATGAAACTCCTGGCTCCTGGCTCCTAGCTCTGACCTGGCCCAGTCTGAGTCTTTGTAGCTATCTGGAAAGTGAAACAGCAGATGGCGGATCTCTCTGTCTCTCCCTCTCTCTCTGTAACACTAAATCAAATAAAATTTATACTTGGTGTTAAAAATCAGCATTAAGAGAGGAAAAAGCCATTAGATGATATTAATTATAAATATGTAACAAAAGATTTATATCCAGTGTGTATTTATATATATACATAAAATTAATGAGCAAAAGGCACAACCCAATACAAAAATGAGTAAAAGATTTGAGCAGCCACTTCACAAAAGACATTGAATGACTAACAAATCTAAGTATGTAAAAAGATGGTCAACTTTGCTAGCCATCAAAGAAATGCAAAATAGGTAATTAGGTAATACTTTCATACACACACAAGAAGGGCAAAAAAAAAAAAAAAAAAAGTGAGAAAAGACCAAATGCTGATGAGAATTCAAAGCAACTACATGCTTCGGAAAACTCCTTAATATTTACAAAAGCTGAACATCATGATGGTCTCTGATAGAGTAATTCTAATCCTAGGTAAATACACGCATGTGTCAACAAACGGTGTGTTTGGAACGCTTAGGTATTCACACTATTCTCAAACTGGAAACAGCATAAACAGGAATCACTAATACAACGGATGAGCAAACCACAGTATATTTGGGCAGTGAAAAATCAAACAACAAAAGTATGAAGCACCTCAACTCTACACAGCGAGGTGGATGGAACTCGGAGAGTGAAAAGACAAAACCTGAAAACAAAGAACGCATGCAGTATTTCATTTAGCCAGTCCCCTAGGAGTCCGTGTGGCAGGTACTTTGGAGGCATGCGGTGCGCCATACTGAAGCAGACGAGAGGTCTGGCAATGTTCTGGTTTTTGCACCAACTTCATTACATGCGTTAGTTCAGTATGTATACCGAGAGATGCACAATAAAAAGCTAACGCTGAAACAAATATAAAAGTAATGACCCCAACAGGCCAAACACCATCTTTGAAACCAAGGAGCTGCTCAAGCACTCCACGCTCCCTACCCCCGCACTCGGAGGTGCACGCGCACGCACAATAAAGAGGAAGCCTCATTGGCTGCATTTCCGGAAGCCAGGGCTTAGCACCACCCCTTCCGGCGCCTGGTCCTCCCGCCTTCCCGCCATCCCACCTCCACGCCGCCAGCTCTGCGGCTGCGGCCCCGGTGAACTGAAGGCGCAGAGGCAAACGGTGTTGGCTTGGGCTTGGGCTTGTGCGCCTCGCCCCCGTTCTCACGCGCTGCCACCATGAATATCCGCAACGCCCGGCCGGACGACCTGATGAACATGCAGCACTGCAACCTGCTCTGCCTGCCTGAGAACTACCAGATGAAATACTATTTCTACCATGGCCTTTCCTGGCCGCAGCTCTCCTACATCGCCGAGGACGAGGACGGGAAGATTGTGGGCTACGTCCTGGCCAAAATGGAGGAGGATCCAGACGATGTCCCGCATGGACACATCACCTCTCTGGCCGTGAAGCGCTCGCACCGGCGCCTCGGCCTGGCCCAGAAGTTAATGGACCAGGCCTCCCGGGCCATGATAGAGAGCTTTAGCGCCAAGTACGTGTCCCTGCACGTCCGGAAGAGTAACCGCGCGGCCTTGCACCTCTACTCTGACACCCTCAACTTTCAGGTTAGTGAGGTGGAACCCAAATACTATGCCGATGGGGAAGATGCCTACGCTATGAAGCGGGATCTCTCGCAGATGGCAGACGTGCTCAGACAGCAGCCGGAGCCGAAGGAGAAGGGCGGGTGTGTGCTGCTCTGCTCCACGGAGAGCCAGGAGAGCCAGGACAGCGTGCTTCCTGGGTCGGCAGACGCCTGCCAGCAGGAGAACGCGGCTGCTGCTGTCGGTGGCAGCGGCAGCAAGGAACCCAGCACTGACGTCCAGAGCAGCGCGGAGGACTTCAGTTCCACCTCCTGGAGCCTGCCTGAGGTATGGGCTCCTCTCTGACCACTGTTTCCCCATCCAGAACTCCCTGCCCCACACCTGGGGCTGCCCAGTCCCATCCTATCCTATTCCATTCCAGCCCTGCTAGGTTTCACAGTAACAACAACCGGGGGTCTCAGGGAGCAGCGTAGGCTGGGTTTGGGGAAGACTCTTTGCTCACTGTTGGAGTTAATAGGACATCCACTCGGAAGCTGAAAGTCCAGTAAAAGAAACATTTATTCTGCTTTTTTGGTATGAGTTAATAAGTGAGACAGAATGATATCATTAGAAAATCACCGTTTTGCAACTCTTGATGAAATAATAGATGCGCCAACAGTCATCAGTAGCTAATACTATTAGGTCAAAGCTGGAACACTTTGTAATGATGGGTTAGATTGACAACACTTGCAGTCAGTTGTCAATCTTAACAGCACTAGAATAAGAGACAAATATGTGCCTCCTAGTGTAATAAGTGCACATTACCCCCAATGAATAATTCTTGCCAAAAGACAATGGTGTGTCAGCTCTAAGCACCATTTTTATAGAAAATAGAGGGATCCATTAAGTCACATATCATGATTCAATCAGCCAAATCCAGAATGGAGAGATTTCTACAGGACAAATGTTCTGGTTTCATTAAAAAAGGAAGAATTTGGGGCCGGCGCAGCGGTGCACTAGGTTAATCCACCTGCAGCGCCGGCATCCTATAAGGGCGCCGGGTTCTAGTCCCGGTGGCTCCTCTTCCAGTCCAGCTCTCTGCTGTGGCATGAGAGGTCAGTGGAGGATGGCCCAGGTCCTTGGGCCTCTGCACCCACATGGGAGACCAGGAGAAGCACCTGGCTCCTGCCTTCGGATCAGCGCAGCGCCGGCCGTGGCCGCCATTTGGGGAGTGAACCAACAGAAGGAAGACCTTTCTCTCTGTCTCACTGTCTATAACTCTACCTGTCAAATAAATAAATAAAAAATCTTAAAAAAAAGGAAGAATTTTCTACTGAAATAAACTTTACAGATAATATGAATCAAACTTAACTGTTTTGAACATTTAGATTCTGATTCAGATAAACCATTATAAGACACTTTTGAGATAATCAGGAAAAATTTGAGCAGGGGCTGTATTCTATTGAGGAACTGTTAATTTGTTTAGGTATGCTAAATGGTATTATGTTATAAAATGTCCACATCCTTTAGCGACATATATTGAAGTAATTATAGCTGAAAGAATTTGATAACTAGGATTTGTTTGAAAATATTCCAACACACACACACCAGAAAAAAAGCTTAGGGGAGGGGAAGTAAAATAAGAATGGCAGTCAACATGTAGATGTTTGGAAATGGGTACTTAGAGAGTTCTTTATGCTATTATTTACTCTTTTGAATTTTTGGAAATTAACATGAAATGTTAAAGAGCAAAAACAATTACTCCTAGTACACACTAGTAAAAATACTAAGAAAACTGAAAATAATTTTAAAAGACTAATATCTTAGAAACGTGCTCAATTGTAATAATCCCACACTATTTCTTCCATCAAATAACTCTGTATCACTTTAAAAATTTAAAGGGTCAGTGAGCCATTGGCAATTTGGAAGCTTTAACTATTCTAGTCACCTTACCATTGAAGTCCAGTCATGAGTGACATATACTCCATGTACTGAAAATTGTTATTTTATTAATTTACTCTTAAAATTTGTTATTTGCCAGGCATCAGGCCTGGAGCTGGGTACACAGATCAGGAGAGGCTGTTGTTTATATGCATATTATACCATTTAAGAATCAATGGATTGTACTAGTATTTTTATATATTTTAATACTGAAAACCAGGCTGGCGCCAAGGCTCAATAGGCTAATACTCCGCCTGCAGTGCCGGCACACCGGGTTCTAGTCTCGGTCTGGGTGCCGGATTCTGTCCTGGTTGCCCCTCTTCCAGTCCAGCTCTCTGCTGTGGCCCGGGAGTGCAGTGGATGATGACACAAGTACTTGGGCCCTGCACCTGCATGGGAGACCAGGAGAAGCACCTGGCTCCTGCACGGTGCACCAGCTGCAGTGGCCACTGGGAGCTGAACCAACGGAAAAGGAAGACCTTTCTCTCTGTCTCTCTCTCTCATTGTCCACTCAGCCTGATTAAAAATAAGAGCATGAGAAGAAAAAACAACTGAAACCCAAACTGTATGGAACACTAACCTCATTCTATTGTCATTCATTTTTAGTTCCATAGGTTAAAAAAATCTGGATGCATTAGTGAATCCTTGGGGGTCAGAAATAGTCTGTCCTCCAAGGAGTCTTTGAATCTGACTTTTACTAACCTGAAGGATTCACAATGATTGGTTGCTTTGATGTAAGGTTAATATAAAGGCAGCAAAACAATCTAAAAGGTAAGATAAAATTAAAATATAATGCCTTGATAGAAGTTTTATAAGATTTACACCTGTCTTAAATCCTGGACTCTCTGTTAGGATTATTTAAATCAGCAGTTTGTTTTTAATTGTTAATTTTGAAATTCCTGAATAGCAGGATTTATACAATATTGATCTCATCTATTCTTCAGTGTTAAGCTCTAGCTGAGAACAGGGGTAATTAAAGTTATGCAACTGTATATAAACTATATATATTTAGATATATAAGTTGGATGAATTCAAAGGTTCTTAACATCTGCTGTGGGAAACACAATAACTTCCACCAAAGAAGTGAGAGAGAGATAATAGCTATGAAAATTATTATATGGCAATTATAAATATCATTGTACTAATTCAAGAATAATTGAGCTGTTTTGTTATGTTACTGTAATTGAGATTTATATCTAAGATGAAGGAGATATTTCCTATACTGTCAGCCAGTTTCCATGTAGGTTAACTGCTAAAACACCTTCCATGGCTGTAGCTAATTTGTGGTCCTCATTATTCATGTCTGGGTATATTCCAACCAGAGACCTCTTTATATCTCTGACACATTCAGCCATGTTTCATCCCATTTTGGTAGCAGGGGTACATATTTGAGTATAAATGATATTTGAGATTCCTCCAATAAAACTGCAGTAATTTAACATGAATCACTGTGATTTTTATTGGTGACAAAGTTGCAAGTATTGCTAATAGTACTGTGCATTTGGTGCCTACATACCTAATTGAAAGAAATGCTAAATTTCAATTTGAGGTTGGTGAAAATACAGCATTGTTTTTTGGTTGTTTTTATTGTAAATTTTTGCATGGCACCTTTCAGCTTATTACATGAAGAAGTTACACTAGTCCAAGTCAAAGACATTATGTAAAAATAAGCTGTGAGGCCTTTACATTTGTGACAAGTGACATACAGGAAATTCTATTCATTGGAAGGAAATCCACACTTAAGATTCAATGCATCATAAGCACTTAAAAGCTGTGAGCCTTCAGCTGATCATCCTTAGCCTGGTGTGTAGTCTTACATTGGCCATCAGTAGCTGAATTCTTTGCTATATCCTGGATGCTCAATTATAGTGCCATTGCAGGCAAATTTCTTCTTAAATGCCTTAACTAGTTTCTTATCGTAATCATCAGCGATCCCTTAGACAGTAGTTAGGGTCTGTCTGCCATTCCTCTGCCGTATTCTATATGGATGTAAATCCTCAGTGACAGCAGGAAGCAAGCCATTGACCTGACTTGCCTCACCCAAGGAGCAGAGAGAGTGGAGTCCCCAGAGCCAACATATTGCTACAATAGGATAAGGTAACAAGGGAGGGCAGAGAAGGTGAGCAGTTGGGTGGGATGGGGATACAGGGATAGGAGTGGTGAGGGCTCAGAAGCCTAAGGACTAGAGAGGGATGCTACTGAATCCCCAGTGGAAGTTCAGTAACTGGGCTACAGAATTGTTTTTTTCCGAATCCAAGGTCATGGTTCTCCTAAATATTATTAAATGGGTCGCAAGTTAAGAATCCCTGACTTCCTTTCCTAGAATCACGTGCCCTCCACTGGTTGACATACAGCGGTCAGCAAGTAACTGCACATAGAGGTTTCTAGGGATTTTAACAGGCGGTCCCATTTCCTCAACTAACTGCAGTGGAGGCTAGGAAATATAATTCAGTTTGTGCCCGGGAGGGTAAGGAAGGTGTGTTGGTAACCTTTGTTTTGGCCTACATGGTTTCTGCCATAATGTGAAACATGCCAGTAGTGCTCTAGACTATGAGAAGTTCTGCCTCTGTACCCAGCTAGGAGCACTGGATCTTTCTGCAACTCCCCCTCCATGCTGTGGCACCAGGAATTGTTGTCAGGCTCCCTGGGGGTAACTGCACAAACACATGACACATATTCCTTCTGCTCTTGCACAAACCTGCACATAGAAACTACAAGATTTGCCCACCGTGCTGCCACTGTCCCTCTTGTAAAAGGCTTGAAGAAATTATGCCTCTACTCTGAAGTCCCCAAAAATGTCTGAAGCTGCACCTCCATCTCATTTGCCCACCTGCCTGAGGGGTGGGGGAGAAGCTAAGGTGAAGAAAGAAAGAACAAGAAAAAATTAAAAAGGTCCATACTTCAAAAGTATTATCCTGTCACAATTATGGTGCTCCCTCCTACAGAAAATGTCCTGAAAGATATCATTGTCATTTTTCCTTATCTCCACTGGAGAACCAAGACAGTTAAAGTTTGAATGATGTATGAGTAGGACAACTGGTGAAGGAGAATTGGGTGCCTTCATGAAAAATGGTACTAAAAATTTCTAGGAACATGACGAGAACTCACAGTGTGGCAGGTGCAATTTCAAGAACTCTCTATAAAGTGTTGTTGCATTTAATCCTCCTAATATCTCTGGGAGGGAGGTACTGTTACTCCATTTTACAGATGAGGAAATCGTGTCACAGAAAGAGCTGTGTGATACAGAGAGTGAGTAGAGAAGGGATACAAACTCAACAGTCAGACTCCATGATCCTGAGTGTTGAACAGGACAGTCCGTGTAAACTGCTGAGCACAACTCCTCCCAGAGTTAAAAACATTTTGTAAATTTTAGCCCTTAATATAATCCGTAGTAACTATTCAGTTTCTTTTTTTCTCCACAGTACTCAGATGATAGAATGTTGTACATGAGCAACAGTTTGCAATCTTGGAAGGGAGATGCATCTTAATGATTAAAATAGCTTTCACTGACAAGCTGAATGTCAAAGCATTCAGCGGCATCAACGCTCCTCAAAGGCGAAGTTTCTGGGGAGCCATGGCAATGAAGACAGGTCAGTTCAAAACATGCTGCTTGAGGCAGCAATGCTATCAAACTGCTGCTCATCTCCTGACAAAAAATATGTGCTGGATGATTAATAACAAAAAAGAAGAAACACAAAAGCTTAGCATTTTCAGTTGAGCTGGCAATATTGAGTTAACTAAGGTTACTTCAGTAACTCTCCCTTCCTGGTTTATTCTTCCTGTCGCTAAGCTGTCATTTTAACAAAAAGTTGTTAAATGTTCACATGAGCATTCACTGAAATAGACTGTTCTTAATTTTACCAGACAACTAATTATAACTGGAATGATATAATGAAATATGGAAGAAAGTTAGAGACTGACAGGTCTGGTGAATTCCTAGTATAACCTTACCCCAGATATGCCAGAAACCATAGATTTCAAATGCATCTGTATTCAATGTAGATTAAGAGGGGGTTGGAAAGAAATAAAATGTTGTTTTGAACTACTAATCAGATAGATGCATTGTCGAATTATTTATAATCACTAACAGTATCACATTCCAATCAGAGCATGATGTACATTTAGGGTGACTGAAATACTAATTTTGTCAGAAGTAATGGATAAAAGCAGAGATTTGTCCTAAATTCTATACTTTCTCTATGCCCAATATATAACATCTAATGGGGCCGGCACCGTGGCTCACTTGGTTAATCCTCCACCTGCAGCGTAGCTCCCCATATGGGTGCCGGGTTCTAGTCCTGGTTGCTCCTCTTCCAGTCCAGCTCTCTGCTGTGGCCCAGGAGGGCACAGTGCATGGCCCGAGTGCTTGGCCCCCTGCACCTGCATGGGAGAACAGGAAGAAGCACCTGGCTCCTGGCTTCAGATCGGCACAGTGCCGGCCGTGGCGGCCATTTGGGGAGTGAACCAGTGGAAGGAAGACCTTTCTCTCTGTCTGTCTCTTCTCTCACTGTCTATAACTCTACCTGTCAAAACAAACAAAAAAAAAAAAAAATGAAATCTAATGAACTTTTTGGTGGATGAGGGAAGGAAGATAAGATATTTAAAAAGTTCTGGGAATGGGCAGTGTTTCAGATGTCCAGAGCAAAAGCCTTTGTGAAAATATTCTGCCAACACCATTGCTGTAGCTTAATGTCTTCAGAGTAAAATAAGATTTCTTTAAGTAAAGCCATACAGATCTACCTTATGTTTATAAGGATATTTTAAATAGTAATAGATGACACCTTTATAAAACTATAGTTGTAAAAATTTCAGTAAGTCAAGCAATTACATCTGTAATGTTTATATTCAAATGGAAATCTTTTTGGAAAGTATCTACACCTTAAACTATTATAGAGCATTTATTACAATGTTATTGCACTTTTAAATCTCAATTTCTTAAAATTATCAAATGATATTAACTAAGTTAACTAAAACAGCTTTATAAAATTGTTTTTTATACAACAATCTTTTGCATATATGAGCAGTGTTCATAGCAAATGGGAAAAGGTAATGCTGACAAGTCTTTCTGACCTATTGTTCCACATTTTATTCCTGTTCCACTATAACAAACAAACAAACAAAAGACATAAGATAAATGGGAAAAAAAAGAAATGGGAGAAAATAACATATGCATTATTTCCAATTACCCCTGATGTAATTAAGGTACTTCAAATGATGACTAAAGAGACATAATGGGTATTTTGGTTTCTTTTCCAAGACTCACAGAAAGAAAATATGATATATAGAATTGGACACATTTCATCTAACTTATCAAGAGTTAAAGAGATCCTTCATTTCTTTAGAATTGAAATAAATTTCCTTGGATCATTTAGAATTTTAAGTTTCTGTAGGTTTAAAATAAGTTCTTTGGGATAAATTGCTGTCTTTCTGGGTTCCTCCTCTCCTTTCTGTCATCAGCAGCGGCCTGCAGGCACCAGGAAGGGTGCATGTGTCTTCATAGCAGTGACAGGAGAGAGCTCTAGATCCACCCTGTCATAAGAAATCTCACTGATTTCCATGTTGATTTATGTGGTCCAGATTGGTTATGGGGTTCCTTACTGATGTGCTGCTGAAGTCTGTCATTGGTTTTTTCAAAGCTTCTTTTCTTTCCAAAGTATCAGAGCCCATAACCCTTCCTTGCTCACTTATTTTCTTCTCCTCAACAGATCTGCAGGCCCTCATGTTTCAGCCACATCTAATCCTTGGACCCCAGCTTAGTCTGTCTGCTCTCCAGCATCTGCATTGGGGTCATCATCCCACAGTGACTCAAATGACTTCTCAATCTCAACGCTCAACAACTGTCCATATACTGTACTGGGATCATGAAGGAAAACCTGGACAGAAGAGCCTGCTGCACAGCAGCCAAGGAAGTTTGAAGCCGGCTATTAGAGAACCTTCCTTGGCCTGCTCACACCATGCCACCATTCTTTCCTGTTTGTAGTAGTCCTGTGTTGTGTGTGGTTATCCTGCAAGGTTGTCTCCTCCTAGAACGCTGAACAGGTAGCAGGGTGAACTCTTAACGCTCCCTAGCTTTCAGTTTTTGCCATTATTTATCTCGATGTTCATCACTGAGGGAGTAATCAGGATCATCAAGTCAGACCTCATGCCCCCTCCCTCATCTTATATGGCAGAAGTGTCCTATTTCCTCTTCCTTTCTCTGGAAACTCCCCATTTATCCCATCCTCCTCTTTCTTAAGGAGGTATTCTCCTTCCCCTTCCCGAGGGAGAAGGTGCTAAGTTAGGGCTTCTGCTGTGCAATCAGAACTTGGAGATTTTAAGAAAAGGATAACCAATAATTAAATTGAATTTCTAACCTCCTTGTTTGTGTCAAATTTTTTGTTGTGTTGTGTTTATTTTTCATGATGTAGCTAGTCATTTGTAGAGTACCTGTGATGTTCAAGCATATTGCTAGTGCTCTTATATTTAGTCCTTCCACAACCCTGTAGGTAGATATTTTTATTCTTGTGCAGATGAGGAAACTGAAGGCCAGAGAAGAAAAGTAAACATCCAAGATAGGAACCCAAATCTGTGTGAATTCAAACCTGAAATTCTTTCTGCTTCACTATTACTATTCTTTGTATTTTATTTAAAAAACTTTAAAATATCAGTAAAAGGCAAAACCTATTGTTTAGGAATGTTACATGTTGACTCAATATGTAGAATCTGTGTGGGTTGAAAATAGCTGTAAAACTTATAATCACCTTCTATTATTTTTTCTCCAGTAAAAATAAGTGAAAACACAGTGCTGTGATCTCTGCAGTGAAAGTCATCAGATAAATCGAGTTACCATTACTAAGTGTTGTTTTCATGTTCACTGTGGATTAGTAAACAATGTACTGATTTCCATGTTTACGTTTTTATGAAAACTACTACATATGTATTTAATTCAAAGCCATGACATTAACCATCTGATGACATCAGTCTGTTCTCTGTAATCATAATCAGCCCTGCTAAGCACTTCCTACAAATCCACCCCTACACACCCTGAGAATGTCTGCTTAATGTTAAATGATTGCCTGGGGCGGATGGAAAGGTTTTATTTCCCCCCCTACATAAGAAGGATTTGCCATGTTGTGTGCCAACACAAACCTCTCATCTATCTTTTCCTTCTTTCCTTTTTTTTAAAATTTCCTCTCAACTCCAAAATTATTTCATTCTTTCCCCTCAAGTATGTGTTTATCTCTTTATTTTTAAATATTACAGCTTTCTAACATCTGTCTCTAGAGCAGCATAATCTTACTGATGAAATATTCCATGTTTTCCTTGAGCCCTTGTCAATATGTCTTTGTGTTAACAGCTCAGCAGATGGAGAAACAGAAGGAGTAGCCTCAGCTTACCTGAGTGATTTCTTTCCAGCAACTGCACATTGAGTGTCTCTACTAACTTGATGATAGAAGATGGAGCAACTGGAAAATAAGAAATGATATATCTAACTTTTGCAATGTTATTTACTAAAACCATTGACTACGTTTCTTCATTATCATTATATTTCTTTACCCAGTCTCATACCAGAAAGCAGATTATTAGCAGCCCACCTAGTTTGAATATGCCTATTTATATAGTGTAAGTAGTAATATTAGTATTGCTTTGGGTGCAAATTAGCATGTTCCCAAGTGGTTCCAAGGTAATAATGGTGAATTAACAGCAGCAGTGATTTTTTTTTTTTGCAACAGTGAAATTGTGGGAGCCTTTAGAGCTGCTTTTTGTAATAGTGTTGTTCTTTTTATACAGGGTAAATTGTTTTTCTGAATGGGCTGGCTGCTTTAAACTTAAGGATAATCCCAGACAGACCAAAGCAAGCCTCTGAAATAAAAATGTAGAATAGTTACCAGTGTGAATACATTTGCACTAGCCATAAAGGGTGCTTCATAACGTACTCTTCATTCTCTTGCGTTTTAAAGAAACTGCTTAGTGGGCCCAAGTTTGTTATCAAATTATTTAAAGATATTAATCAACAGGATGCAATTTTTTTTTTTTTGGTGGAGGAGAGAAAGTTGTGAATAAAGCCTGTGAGTTATGTGAGAGTGATTTTCCCTTTAGAGATAAGAGCAAGATATGATCATCTGAAATTAAACATAGTGGGGTATGGATGTAGATGCTGAGGGGAAACAAGTGCTGGGATTTAAACTCAAGCCAAGAAACTTTAGAAGGTATCAAGATTCTCAAATAGCCGAAAGGAACTTTTCTCCAGTTTTTACATGCAGTTAAGTCGTATGGAGTGATAATGTTAACTCAGACTTGATTTCAGTAGGTCTGGAGTAGAGCCCAAGTACATTTCTTTCCTTTTTTTTTTTTTTTTTTTGAAAGATTTGTTTATTTTATTTGAAAGGCAGAATTACAGAGACGGAGAGACACAGAGATCTTCCATCTGCTGGTTCACTCTCCAGAATGAGGGCTGGGCTAGGCCTAAGCCAGGAGCTGCTTCTAGGTCTCCCACGTAGATACAGGGGCCCAAGTACTTAGGCCATCTTCTGCTGCCTTCATAGGCACATTAGCTGGGAGCTAGATCAGAAGTGGAGTAGCCAGGACTCAAACTGGTGCCCATATAGGATGATGGCATTGCAGGCCATGGCTTAACCTGCCACACCACAGCGCCAATCTCTTGAATGCATTTCTAAGTAGTTCCTAGTTAATACTAATGGTTGCTGGTACAAGAACCACACTTTGATTAGGAATGGTCTTAATGCTCATCTCCAGCCTTGGCTCTGCAGTCTGAAACACTTGTCACTAGCCTTTGGGTTAGTTTGGATTAGACTTTAAATAAGCTATAATCCCATTCTTAAATACATGCTCACACAAATTGTTTGTCTTTAGTTGTGTCATTCCAGACATGTTTCATCAGAATACAATAAAAGAAGTTTATGTATACAGTGTGTGTTTGAAATGTATTGCCAGTAATTAACATTACATCTTACACAGGGATGCTTTGATACACTAATTTCTCCTCATCTTTGGCTTCTATAGAAGTGAATTTCACTTCTTCCATTTTATTGTGTGCTTTGGTCAAAAAATTACCCCTTCACATGGAAATTATTTTTCATGCTGACAATTGACAAGATTTGGAAAGGACCAATGAGTCCTTTTTTATTGTAACTTTTTTAATTTTAAGGAATACCAGACCTTTATATGGTTAGAGGTGATATGGAAAACACATTCAACAGAGCTAATTCCGTTCAGGGAAAATAATTCCTAGCTCATTGTTTTTCAGAGTATAGTTCCTATGCCCTATGGCATCAGAATCACTGGGTGCTATGTTAAAAATGCAGTTTATTGGGGCCATCACTGCGGTGTAGCAGGTAAAGCCACTGCCTGCAGTGCTGGCATCCCATATGGGCACCGGTTTGAGTCTCAGCTGCTCCACTTCCGATCCAGCTCACTGCTGTGGCCTGGGAAAGCAGTAGAAGATGGCCCAATTCCTTGGGCCCCTGCACCTACAGGAGAGACTGGGAAGAAGGTCCTGGCTCCTGGCTTCAGATCGGTGCTGCTCCGGCCATTGCAGCCAACTGGGGCGTGAACCAGTGGATCAAAAACTCACTCTTTCTCTCTCTCTCTCTCCCTCCCTCCCTCCCTCCCTCTCTCTCTCTCTCCCTCTCCCTCTCTCTCCCTCCCTCCCTCCCTCCCTCCCTCCCTCCCTGCCTCTCCTTCTCTGTCTGTGTAACTCTAACTTTCAAATAAATAAATAAATCTTTTTAAAAATGCAGCTTCTTTGACTTTGGCTCAAATTTACAAACTTAGTCCTATATTTTTAACAGACCTGTAATTGTTTTACACAGTATACTTACCCTGGTAAGTATAAGACTTTGAATCTTCACAATATGAAGGGAGCTCTTACCATAGTAATATACCAGATTTAAATTGATTCATCAGACCAAGCAAAAAATTCAAGAAAATATAACAAAACTTTGGTTCATAGTAAAACATAAGAGGGGTTGAGCGGTGCACAGGAACTCTGCTTTCTACTCATTCTCTGTGAACATAAAACTCTAATTTAAAAGCAAAATTTTATGTATGTAAACATTTGATGTGATTGTATATATATTTTATATAAATAATATATCATGCGTTTTATTTGGGAACATTATTTTTGTGTCATTATTAGTCCCCCTGCCTGCTTTTTTTCAAGCAAACAGTAGCTACAATGTGGTAACTGTTATATAGCACAAGCATGAAGAGTGAGAACACATAAAAGCATACTATGCAATTTTCCTCATTTGTTTCTAGAACAACATCAACAAAATACTACGATGTCCCATTAGGGACCAGATACCTGGTAAGTCTGGAGCCACATTCCCTTCTTTCTACTCATGTATCATTAGCCCCTTGTACCCCATCACAGTTTGGGCATTCTGAGTTAGAACTCTCATCAATGCCATACTCAGCCAAAAGCCAATGAAACAGACCGATGGGCTCATTAAGGTCCTTTATACTTTTTCCATGACATGAATGCTGCTTGCAAATTTTGAGACACAGATCATTTCTCTGAGTTACCCTTGAAGGGAAATTTAAACACTATGTTTCCATATATGGGCGTGGGAATTAGATTTTGTGAGGTCCTGGGGCAAAGAGCCCTTTCATTATAAATCACGCGTATGTCGCTTTCCCGTTAAAATAGGTTTTTCACCTCTGGGGTGGGGTCATCACTGCAACTGCATATATAAAAGCTCACCTAGAGAACACAGTCCTTAGCAAGTTCAGTAACTCACAAGGAGTAGTTTAATAGAGTGGGGAAATGGCAGACCTCAGAGTTTTAGGTTTTACTCCTAGTTTGAGTTAATTCCACCTAGATCCTCTGGCACATCAATTTCCTCACTGAGAAAACAGAGATAAAATTTCCATGCCCTCAGGGTTATTATGTAATGAGGTAGTATAAGAAAATTGCATTATAGTTTATAAAAAGACATGTAAATATTATTGCTAACTTTTTTTAAAAGTATTTTTAATCCCCAAGTTTAAAGCAGTGCAAAATGAAATAATTTTTCCCCTCTCAGAAAAACAAATCAGTATTTCATAGAATCTATTAAAAAAAGCAACTATGTTGGCAATGACAAACGTGTGTGTGTGTGTGTGTGTGTGTGTGTGTGGCTATTTAAAGAATGAGGTACTAAAGGGAGTGAATTCCTGTGAATGCAGCAAATCAACTTTTTTGAAAAGAAAAGCTGGCCTTAATAAAAGTTGTTTATCTTTTGCTCTCTAAAACTTGAACAATTTTATGTAATAGAATGTTAATGTAAAACTGTACTCATTATCCCATTTACATGAAGTCATATACACACACAAATGTGACAAAAGTGTTCACATACTCAAAACTTTATTTTAGAGGCGGAGAGAAAGTTGACAGAGCTCTTCCATTCACTTATTCCCTAAATTCATGCAACAGCCAGGGCTGGACCAGCCAAAGCCAGGAGCTCAGAATTCAGACAGGGTCCACGTGAATAGCAGGGACCCAAGTACTTGAGCCATCAGTTGCTGCCCCTGCAGGTGCACATTAACAGGGAGCTAGAATTGGAAGCAGAGCCAGGTTTTGAACCAAGGCACACCGATAAGGGTTGCAGATGTTCCCAGCAGCATCTTTTTGTTTGTTTGATTTATTCGACAGGTAGAGTTATAGACAGTGAGAGTGAGAGACAGAGAAAGGTCTTCCTTCTGTTGGTTCACTCCCCAGATGGCCACTAAGGCCGGCACACTGTGCTG